GACACAAATGACGTATGTGATGAGTTGTATGAGCCCCTAATAAAATGATTTAATTAAAAAAAAGAATTATCTGCAACTGTGTCCCATATATGGATCTATACATATGTGTATACACACCTATGTACATATGTGTATACACACAGAGGCAAATGGGGGCGTAAAAAGTTCATGAGGAAATTCCAGTATCTTTTTTTCCACAAACTTTTTGATGTACCTTTATACATGGATATGCACACATACTTATACTTATGTTTATAGACATACCTTACTGCGGACACATCTTCACACCCACACATATATACCTATATACATATTTGTATAACCACATTTGCTTTTTGGCTGTTGTTGGAGTTGCAAAGTTATCTTGGTCATATCCTTTACCAAAAACCTCCTGTTCTCTTATGCACTTCACTGTTTCCCATGGTCAAACTGCATGCAGTTCACTGAGTCACTGGTATCTTTTCTGACACCAAAATTAACAAGTGTTTGCTCTCTTGAGTTGCTTCCCTCTATGCCCCCAACAACCGGGTACACATTAGGACAAGGTATCTGCTCTCAAGAAGGTAAGTGTACAGAAGCAGGTGTAGATTCTGAGTAAATATCCCACTGACAGGGAAATCTGTCTTTCAGTCCATGGGCGCGAGACTCTTCAAAGTTAAGTGAAAGTTGCCAATCAAGGATGGCAGCAGACAAGACTTAGACACTCATGACCATCCTGTGTCATCCATTTGCTTCACAGAATGGAGTCAGGCTGGAAAGCAACAAGAGGAGTGCGGTACAGAAGACACCTCCCACACAGAAGCAAAAACGGCCAGTATGTTAAAGTAGTGTTTACTGAACTAGCAATTATTCATATAAAGGAGGGGTCAGAAAACAGATTTAGGACTGTCTCAGACTTGCCCTTGATTAGGGAAATTAGGAATGACACATCAAACACTAGTCTCTAGAGTATGTGACTGAAGGCCCAAGAGGCTATGGATTTAGCAGAGCTGTCACCGCCTGTCCCATCAGATCTCAAGACGGCGGTACAGAGATGAGCATCCTTGCTCTCCTCTGCATTTAAATCTTCAGAACAGTTCGAATGCT